TCTGGTTGTATTTACAATGAACTCTTTTGAATGGAGGTGTAAATGGTTGGCCAACATCAAGCAACTGAAGCAAAGGAAGACAAAGAGGGATCATTATTAGGCCCTCGCAGCCAACATTCCTAATCCCTTCGAGAGAATCACATGCTTAATAGCAGAAATATCCTTTAAGCTAACAATGTTGCAACCTGCGACCTGTCAATGCCCAATACTTCTACAATAGGTAACACTGGATTCTCACCAACAATATCAATGCCGGTAAACGCCACTAACCTTCAATAGCTTAAAGGGACAACAAAAATATTTGATTTAAATACAAATCTTTCTTTACTTTGGAAGAATTAGAATTAAAAAGTGAGATTGGCTTTGTAAAGACAAATTAAGGTTAAAGACAGAAGATAATTAATCTGTTTGTTGATTTGACTATTTTTGGATTTCCTGCTTAAATCATCTTCTTCAGATAATGTATGAAAATTGAGAAGATATATACTATAGACAGCCAAGATGGCTAAACTAAAATGCTTAATACACCATACATTAAGCAAAGTTGTGCAGCAAAATACATGCAGACCATAAGTTAGTCTCAGCTTTCAAGTTTATTTTCAACACAACGCACACACTAGGAAAAGAAGTTCTAACCCTCAAGGAACGCACACGCATATATATTCAAATTGTTTGGAAAGCTATAGCATCACGGGTAGCAGACTGAATGACTGGTTCAGAAACAAATAAGATTAAAAGATCTCTTTCAATACGGGAAAATGGGTTTAGAAACAAGGCAAATTGAATTGAGCAATTATCGGAAATTCTTTAATTTGTTGAACCTGGATGATAGAGCACAGACACCCAGGTCTGAACTAACAGACGATAATTTTTTTTTACCAGCAAAAAGCGAGTTTTATTGGAACCCCCATACATTAATGCAGCATAACCCTATTCCAATTACCAAGACAACTGAAAATCCATTCAGGCAATTGATCGAATACTTGGTGTGCATATGAAAAAGTCATTCTATTCTCCCATATCCCATGGTTCCAAAACCCAACAATCAGATTCTCTATTCTCCCCACTAACAAGTACTCCTATTTCTAAGTCTTTAAAAAGATATCAATAAATACAAAAGATGGCTATCAAAACACCACTTTGGCCTCCATCATAGCAAAAGTGTTGCAGAGCGACAACATGCGAAGAATAAGCAATCACTAGTGCCATTGAGTTAAAAAATAGAAGAGAATGGAAAAAAGAACCTCGTCCAAATCAACTAAAGGAGTTGTGGTTGAGATGAAGTGCTGCAGCGTGATAGCAAATGATTTCCTCTTCGACTTCATCTCTACCTCCACCGTTATTCCTACTTTCTCCTCTGCTGCTGTAGCTGAACACCTGAATCCTTTCCACTGGGGATTCTCTGATCGAAAAATAAGATGAGATCCTTACAAATGACTTCAAATAACAATTCATAATCAAATTTCAATACATCTCTCAACATAGTCCAATTCCAGACCTGATACTTCTCAAGACAACTTGCAATAGCTATTGTTTATCAACCTTCAATGTCAACCCCAATATTTAAAATACACACATCATCCCTTTTTTGATTTCATTGAATGAAAGCACAAAGGGGTGCTCAAACCCAACACCACAGTATAAACACTTCAGCAGGCCGCTGCAAAGAAATAATTACAGAATCCAGAGCCACTTAGATACTCATCATTCTCCTCAAAGTGCTCAGCCAAATCAAGTTTAAGAATCCATCAACAAATGTTTCTGTGTCATAGACACTGGTGTTGCAGCCACGTTCATTCGCCTCCAGTCACTTGGAAACCCTACCTAAACATATTTAAAATGCCAAAAATTTTATTTCCAATTTAGAATTCTAACAATTGGGAAAAGAAAAATAGAACAAGACCTTAGGGTACCTCTTTAATTGGTTGTGTTTGGTCGAACCGTGGAAATGACAAAGGCT